CAGCAGCGCGTGCTGCTTGACCGGGAGGGTTGCCACGCCACGGACACCGGGCTCCATGGCGGCAGGGCTCAGGAGAACGGCGGACGGCACGACCGCGACGAAGGACGACGGGAGCGACACCTCGGGGGCCGGGGCAAGTGCTCCAGACACGGAGCCGATGGCTCCGGATGCCACACCGCTACACATCACAGCGCAGCAGCGCAGCAAGGCCGCGTGTGTGCGTGTGTGGCAGCACATCACAGCACATCACAGCACAACACAGCACAACACAGCGCAACACAGCACACACAGCACATCACATCACAGCACATCACAGCACATCACATCACAGCACATCACAGCACACGCCGCTAGGCGCGTGTGTGTGTGTGTGTGTGTGTGTTTTCGTGTGTGTGTGTGTGTGTGTGTGTGCGTGCGTGCGTGCGTGCGTGCGTGCGTGGGTGCGTGCGTGCGTGCGTGCGTGCGTGCGTGCGTGCGTGCGTGTGTGTGTGTGTGTGTGTGTGTGTGTGTGTGTGTGTGTGCGTGTTTTGTTTGTTTGTGTGTGTGTCTGTGTTTGTGCGTTTGTGTGTGTGTGCGTGTGTGCGTGTGTGCGTGTGTGCGTGTGTGTGTGCGTGTGTGTGCGTGTGTGTGTGTGTGTGTGTGTGTGTGTGTGTGTGTGTGTGTGTGTGTGTGTTTTCGTGTGTGTGTGTGTGTGTGTTCGTGTGTGTGTGTGTGTGTGTTCGTGCGTGTGCGGGTGCCGGATTGGGGGCTGCGGCGCCATGCGTCTGAGCCCACCGAGAGGCGTAGGCGGAGCTCCCTGTGGGGCCGCAGACCATGTGAGGGGTGGCCCGGAGTGGCCGTGCGCCGAGCAGCAAGAGCGAGCGGACCCGAGGACGTGCGACGACGGCGGGACGACAACGTCGTGCGAGGGCGGGGGCGGGTCAGAGGCACCAGTGGCGGCAGGCCGCATCAAGGCGGCGAGGGGCGCGCCTCTCGCTGAGCAGGAGGAGGAGGAGGAGGAGGAGGAGGAGGAGGAGGAGGAGGGGGACGATGAGGAGCCGCAGGAGGACGAGAAGGAGCCGCAGGAGGAGGAGGAGGAGGAGGAGGAGGAGGAGGAGGAGGAGGAGGAGGAGCAGCAGCAGCAGGAGGAGGAGGAGGAGCGAGCAGTGAGGAGGCTCGCGCGCAGCGGGCTCAAAACGAGGACCCAGCTTCCGCAGGCGGGCTGGGCAACAAAAGCAAACACGACGTCGAAGGCCCGCCCTCTGCCACCCCCCTGATCGACTTGTCTGCGACGTTTCGCCCCCCCCCCCCCCCACCACCACCACCACACCCAGACCTCTGACGTCATGTCTGTTCTCAATGTTAAGACGAAGCCAGGACAAATTCGGGTGAGGATGAATCGAGAATCCCTGAGATCCGGCGGCTCTCGAGGATGTCTCGGCCTTCTCTCAGAGCGTTGCGGAACGCCCTGAGAGCTTTTCGGGACGCTCTGGATCGGACCCAGACATGCGACGTCCTGATTTTTTCAAGACGGCGTCCCTGGAAGGCTGCGACGAGGTCGCCCCCGCTCCCCCATGAAAGGAAGGGGAAGCACTGGGCGGGGGTGTGGCGAATCAGCTCACAGAGGAGGCGCCTCCTGGCGACGGTGGCGCCCATGGTGCCGAGGAATGTGCCCCCCCAGCGGCAGCACCGGGAGCCAGCTGTCGGGGGTGGCCAACAGGGAGGCGTCCAAGAGGGGGGGCCGCAACTCATGGCCTGCGGCACGTGCGCTGCCCAGCGGCGGGGCCAGGGACGTGCTGAAACGAGAAGAGTCGCCATGAAATCTGAGGAAACATCATGGCCCACGCCGTGATATCAACCCCCCCGCAGTCATCACCCCCCTCTTGGCCGCCCCCGAAGCTGCGTGCAGCAGATGTCGCCCCCCCCTCCCCCCCAGGTTTCCCAACCCCCTCCCCTCGCCCGACTGCCCGACTGGACACAAGCCTATGCAGGCACATCCTCGGAGATGGCCTTCGAATCCTCGGCCCACTCCCGACCCCTTCCTGGGCGTAGTAGGCTTGCGCCCCGGATCCATGCTTGATTTCCCTGTGTGGGGCCCGACAGCGGAGAAATCCAACAGGTACCGATACCGCTGCTCCGCGGACCTCTCCCAGGGCGCGTCCTGACGAGGATGTCGAGGCGAATCCAGCGGTGGCGACGAGGGCCTCCCATGGAGGCCCAGAGAAAGGGAAAACGGCCGAAAGGCAGCGGTATCGGTACCTTCTCTGCCTCTGAGATAACAGGAGGAGGAGGAGGAGGAGGAGGAGGAGGAGGCCTCGAGGAGGAGGAGGAGGAGGAGGAGGAGGAGGAGGAGCCGAGATCGGGGAAAAACGGCCAGCTGGACCAAATGGTATCGCCGGCTGGGGGCGTGGCGCAACGCCCCGGGGCCACACTCGGAGATGCACCCGGCCAGCTGGCGGCCAGCGCCGCCCAGCCGCTCGTCTTCCCCGGTCAGCTTGGACGCCAAGCCTTCCAGCTGCATGGCGCACCCCCTGGGCGAACATATACGCACCGATACCGCTGCTCCCTTCACCTCCTCGGGCCTCCTCGCGTCGAAACACAAACTCTTGGCGGGAAGTTGATTCCGATTCTTTCCAACTTCGCCGGGCCCAAGGCCGTTCAAAACTGGTCCCCTGGAAAGGGTTTGGAAGTCCGGGGGGGGGCCGTATGGGAAAACAAGACGTCGGATTTCTGCTAATCTCAGCATTCGTATGTTTGTCTTCGTTTTTTTTGCGTTTGTTTTTTATTTTTCCGAAGCGTGGACCTCCAACGTATGGGTCTTTCTCTGTGGCCAGATTTTCAGTCCCAATCGCTTTGGGACGGTCCTTGTGCCCAGTGAGGGCGTACGGTCAAAAACCGCCCGTCGTCATTGTTCCCACGTTTGGAAATTCGTGTGCGTCTGGAGATTATTTACACTAGCCGCTGCTTCTGGGGATCATTGGCACTAACCGCCACTGACTGCGATCTGAATGGGGATCTAGGAGCGAAGTGGGTCCGACCTGTCCCGAAGAAGCGCGAGAAAGCGGGACGATCATAACGCAACGATCTTCCCAAACCTCTTTTGGTTGCAAACGGGCCTGTGACGGGAAATTCTCAGCTCCCGGAAGCCGTCACCCAGCCTCCGACCATAACAAAAACAGCACGGTTAGCAAAACTGCCCCCCAGGAGATAGTCCATCCCAAGGTTATTAAACAGTCACGACATCGGGGATTGATTTGGAGGGTGGCTCGGGCATCATTTGAAACACTTGTTTTGAGATGAACATTTCTTTATAAAAAACAACAACAGGACTGTGGAACTCATCCTGGCCAATCACCGGACATTGGGGTACAAACTCATTATCTTTCCGTAATGACCAACGGGGGATTGGAAATTATTGGGAAATGCATTGGAAATTGTACTTCAACCTGGATTACTCGTCACATGGGAGGGCCATTACCGTTCCGGGATGATTACCCAAAAATCGCGATTCTTGAATACTGGATCGAGCTTGACAGTTGAATCCAAGTAACCTCTCGCAGAGAGAAGGGGCCATCATCTTTCTGGAATGACAAACAGGGGCTAAATATTCTTGAACATGGAACCAGGCTTAGTGGCTCAATCCAAATAACTTTCTGGGTGCGCCCGCGCCGCCAAGGACGGAGAAGGGTTGGGGGAAGTACCGGACGGGGTCCACTATTCCAGCGGCATGGCGAACCACTGTCCAACATTTGGTAGGAGTCGTGGACAAGGGTGCGGACTTCCAGGGGAATTGCAATCCGGTGTGAACTATTCATCGGGAGTTACCGACTGAGGACAATATTTCCGAGGGGGTGGTAAGTTTGAGTTTTTTTCCTCCGTTTCTTTACGCGTACATAACCGACGAGGGCCAACGAATTATTCCTAGAAGGTGATGAACCGAGATCTGTCGTTCGGGTGATTCACAAGGGTCGAGCATCACCAGGAACCTTCTTGATGCAACGCTGCCAAGGCAGGGGAGGAGAGGGGGATTAATTCATCATTCCGGAATGACCGACCGCGGATCAGTACTTCCATGGTTGCTCCCTGAGGTAATGGACAAGGGGTCACTATCCCAACGAAGTGACTGAGATTACCTCATCATTTCCCAAAGGGTCAACTTTGCAGAAATCCATCGACTGCGTCTGGGAATCCTGAAGAGCAGCGGGTTGGGTTTATTAGTCTCAGGGAATACAAGATATGTGGTTCGATGCTGATCCCTGGGGAGTTATTGACCAGGGTGTAATGTCCCCAGGCATACGCCGAACAGGGTCTAATTTCCCCACGGTGAACTGAACACTTCTCCACTATGCCGCAAAACGATGGAAAAAGGGGTCCGCTACTCCTAACGAAAAACCTACCAAGATCATCGGAATGTACCAGTTCCTAGGAATCACCGACTGGAACAGGAGGCACGCGTGCCAAGGATCATACAATCACGGGTATGGGACACTGGGAGATGGAGGTGGAATGCAGCGACACGCTGAGCTATGGCGTGAAGAACTTGTTCTGTCACTGTGAGCTGGTGGAGTCTCTATGACTCTTCGGGGCTATGGTGCTATTGGGCGTCTCTGGGGCTTACTGGGGGTCTTGTGTGGGCCCGTCTGGGGCTCTTTTGGGCATTCTTGGAACAATCTTGAGCTGTCCTGGGGCCTTTGTGGCCCATCGTGGGGACTCGGGGGGGGGTCCAGGGGCACGGCCGGAGCGGGGGGGCACGGTCGGTCGATCGGAATGAGCAAGCGGGGGGGCCACTGGGCGGAAGGGGCAGGACAGGGGGGTGACCGGGGTGAAGGGAGGGGGGGCACGGTCGGTCGGCGGGGGCCACGGGGCGGAAGGGGGAGGCACGGTCGGTCGGTCGGTCGGTCGGAATAAGCACAGACTGGGGCCACGGGGCGGAGGGGAGGGGCACAGTCGGTCGGTCGGTCGGTGTGAACTACCAGACGGGGGCCGCGGGGCGGAGAAACGCGGGGGGGAGCAGGGGGGCGGGAAAACACGGTCGCGCAGGGTGGTGGCACGGTCGGTCGGTCGGTCGGAATTAGCAAGCGGGGGCCACGGGGCGCAGGGGGGGGGGCACGGTCGGTCGGCCGGTCGGAATTAACAGACGGGGGCCACGGGGCGGGGGGTGCGGGAGGGCAGGCAGAGCACACAGGGGCGGCACGCACCCTGGCCACACCCTAGCACGTATCCCAGCACACATCCCAGCACGTATCCCAACAGCACACGAAGGCAGCACACGTCCCAGCACACATCCCAGTCCAGCGCACACTCCAAGCATGGTCGGTCGGTCGGTCGAAATAATGGAGTGCGAGATCACACTGGTAGGTCGGATAATTCAGTACTCCTATCGAGTGTTGGATTACGTAGGGCTTCTGGGAGGTGTCTCGGACCGTCGTGGAGCCGACTGAGGCCGTCTTGGGGCGCTCTGGAGCGGTCTGGGAGCCCCCGCGGAATTCTCGGGGGGCCGTCTGCAGGGGCATCCACAGCGCCCCGCGGGCCAAGCATCCAGGGGGTTCAGAATCCCGGAGCCCCGGGATTCGATGGGTCAGATTTCAGGGGGGGCAGGGCAATAGAAAATGTATTAAGTGGCATAAGCCGTACACTCTGCAAGTGTACAATTCGCTCCTCGGTTCGAGGCACTGTTGGTTCTAGTATTCGATTCGATGCATTCGAGGCGCTGTACCCTCTCGCATTCGATTCGAGGCAGCACATTGTCGAGGCACTGTTGGCTTCGCCTCCTGCGCTGCACGTCGTCGACTTCAGCCTCCAGGGGCTGGCCGCGGGCCCGTGTTCGACACCGATCGGGGACAGAGAAGACTGTAGACGCCGGGGAAGGGCTCGGGAGCTCGGGACCGCGGATTGGAACTTCCTGTCGTCGGGTTTAGGGTTTAGGGTTTAGGATTTAGGGTTTAGGGTTTAGGGAGATCAAGAAATGCAGCGTCGCGGGACATCAAGAACCATAACCCTGGTCCCAACCTGCCTGCCACACTGTTCGGGCCAAATCGACCCGTGAGGGCCCAGGAGGGCCCGAGGATGGGCGCACGTCCCCGAGAGCAGATCCCAACAGTGAGGAGCTCAGCGCTCCACCGTGGGTGCTTGAGTGCACGCTGTGAGTGCACGCTGTGAGTGCACGCTGTGGTGAGCGCACGCTGTGAGCGCACGCTGCGAGCCCACGCAGTGGTGAGTACACGCTGTGAGCGCACGCTAGGAGTGCACGCTGTGGTGAGTGCACGCTGTGAGTGCCCGCTGCGGTGAGCGCACGCTGTGAGCGCACGCTGCGAGCGCACGCTGTGAGTGCACGCGGCGTCGAGGGCTCGCTGGGCTGATGAGCGCGCTCGCGCAGCCTGCGCTCGCAGCGTGGGCTCACAGCGTGAGCTCACAGCGTGGGCTCACAGCGTGGGCTCAGAGCGTGGACTCAGAGCGTGGGCTCACAGCGTGGGCTCACAGCGTGGGCCCACCACGGCGGGCACGCACAGCAGCGTGGGCCAATCACGCTGTGAGTGCACGCTGTGAGTGCACGCTGTGAGCGCGCGCTGCTCGCCACCCGGTGAGAAAGACCGTGAGCGCACGCTATGAGTGCACGCTGTGGGCCTGGCGAATTGCTTACGCGCTGGATTTCTCCGCGCGGTTCGAGAGTGATTTCCTCTGTGGTGTGTGTGTGTATGCGTGCGTGCGTTTGTGTGTGGTGGTGGTGGTGGGAGTGGTGGTGGCGGTGACTGTGGTGGTGGTGGTGGCGTTGGTGGTGGCGGTATCGTTGGTGGCGGTGGTGGTTGTGGTGGTGGGGTGGTGGTGTGTGTGTGTGTGCATGTGTGCGTGGTGGGTGTTGTGCGGTTTGCGGCGTGCGGTGTGCGGTGTGCGGTGGGCGGTGTGTGGTGTATGGTGTGTGGTGTGTGGTGTGTGATGCGTGGTGGGTGCTGTGTGGTGCGTGATGGGTGGTCTGTGGTGGGTGATGGTGGGTGGTGTGTGTGTGTGTGTGTGGTGTGTGAGGTGTGAGGTGTGTGGTGTGGTGGTGTGGTGTGTGGCGTGTGGTGTGTGGTGTATGGTGTGTGGCGTGTGGAGTGTGGTGTGTTCTGTGTTGTGTCTTGCGTCTGGTGTATTGCGGGTGGTGTGTTGCGTGTGGTGTGTTGCGTGTTGAGTGCTGCGTGCGGTATGTTGCGTGCGGTGTGTTGCGCGTCGTGTGTGCGTGTGGTGTGTTGCATGTGGTGTGTGGCATGTGGTGTGTTGCGTATGGTGTGTTGCGTGAAGTGTGTATGTGTGTGGTGTGTGGTGTGTTGCGTGTGGTGTGCTGCGTGTGGTATGTTGCGTGTCGTGTGTTGCGTGCGGTATGTTGCGTGTCGTGTGTGTGTGTGTGGCGTGTGGTGTGTGGCGTGTGGTGTGTCGGAGTGTTGCGTGTCGTGTGTTGCGTGTGTTGTGTGGCGTGTGCGGTGTGTTGCGTGTGGTGTGTTGCGCGTGTGTTGTGTGGCGTGTGCGGTGTGTTGCGTGTGGTGT